TGTGTGATGCTTGTTGATGATATGGTATGTGTATAACTTGTTTGACCTTCGGTTGTGCTTTTGTCTTTGATGTTTTTCTGTTTGGGATCGTGTAGGCAGTGTGTTCGTGAGTGATGATGCAGGGGGTGCCTTCATTTATCTGTTGAACGGTACGGGGACGTGTGCTTCTTTTGGTTTTTAGTTTCTGTAACAGCAATGCAAATTATTTCAAATGCTTCTAACTGTAGTGTCAACATTCTTAGTGATAAGTGCCTAACTGTGGTATCAATATCCTTAGTGTCTTAACCACGAGTGTCTAAGAGTGGTGTAAAGAACTTCATGACAAGTGCCTAACTTTTCTGTGCCGACAGCTTACCTTTCCCCTCTTGCCACGCAGTTTCTTGAAGAACCTGGCGCCACGACTTTCCTTGAATGTCACAGAGTCGTACTGGTCATCCTCTCCATCCTCCAAGGCGCAGGAGTCCACCCCAGGCAGTTCACCGTCGTAGTTACGGTCAGAGTTCTCAGCCAGTTTCATGTACTTCACCTCCAGACTAAAGATATGGACACAACATTAGGTTCTCATCATAATTTGAAAGGGATTTAAGAAATACATTTTATAACTAAACCTGTCATGCAACAAAATTTTGATTTCTTCAGAGTGGTTTCCACTTAATTTACAGGTGATCACAATCTGAAGTGTCAGTTGTTTACACTTCGTCAGTTTTACATGTTCTCTTAACTACAATTTCCAAAGAATATTTTCCTTAAGGTACAGTACCCAGTATATGAAAATGATAACTTCGTAAAAACCTAAAAGGTCAAAGGATGCTCAAGACTTATACTTCTAGCATGACTTACATGTCACTGAAATATCATTACAGAAATATATAAGACAGTACTTAGGACACAATACTAAGTCAGATCAGGCCAAACAATCCTGGCCATGGTGATATCCTCACAATGCTGAACTTCACTCAAGTAACAGGCGCTATATACTGTTGAGGTTCTAGTACGTTTAAGACCTGTATCCTTCGGAGAGATAAAAAGGTTGTACAAATAAAAGTTACCCTCTGTTTTTATGCCAGCAGTACATGACAACCAGGAGCATCAGTAGACTGAACGCGGCAGCGATGGGTATGGCCACCTGGAGCTGTTAACACAATTCTATATATTATTACATTTTACTACATACTTAACATGAAAGCTTACTTCCTCATTTGTTATGCAGTTTTATTTTACAAAATTGAAGATATTTTTTTGTTGAATTTTTATTATATTGTAAGTGTGAAACAATTCTTCAACTCTAAACACAGTTAATTAATTAATTTGACAAGAAAACTAATACTGTACTAGAATATTTTAAGCTGATTTCATTTTGTTTGTTTGTGTTTTATGTCCTAATAACATCTATGGTCATTTAAGGATGTGTCAGGTTTTGTCGGTGGAGGAAAGCTGGAGTTCCCCGAGAAAAAACACTGACTAACAGCCAGTACCTGGCTACTGCCCCACGTAGGTCTCTAATTTCAAACAACAAGTTAAGTGGCATGACATGTAATGTACATGTATATTCCATGAAGTAAAATGTGTGCAATAAAGTCACACGTATATTACCACTAGAACATAACAGCTGTTTCCCACTGAATTGAAATGATATGAAAAACTTTCGACTACTTAAACTAATTATATTCATTAAATAAATTTAAAAGCAAGCTGTAAACTTTTATTAAATCCCTTTTGCAGATCCTGATTAAATTGCACTTGGGAACTATGGGATGAAACGACGGAACCTGTAGAAGAACTATATGGTTGGACAGAAGACCCCATATTTTTTTTTGACTGATTGAGGATTCACGCCCCAGCTGTCTTAGCGAAAGGCAAGTGCACAAACCACTACGCCACCTGAACAATGGTTATATGAACACAGTATACATACTGTACACTAACCACTACACCACCTGACCA